TAAGCGTAAGGCTGTAGTTTGAATGTATATCATACTTGAATAATGAGCTGAGGGTCCATATTTAAAGGGGGAGGTAGTATAATCCTCTTAGGAGTGGACAGTGCACTCCTAATATGACTGAATTAGTTGAATTTACTTATCCGTAAGAGTTCTACTTGAGAGGAGTATCTGACTTGTACTATAATTGCCAGTACACTTATAATTTAGAAGTATAGTTGAAATATAGACCTTATAGGAGTAGGAGTCCTAGTCGAGTCACACAGAAATTGTACTCATCATAGGCCCCCGTGCATCCATGTCAGGAGTTCGTGCGCAATGTAGGAGTTTCTGGCATGAGATGCATAAGTATATTGAGTTCAAAAATAGGCATGCTCAAGTCGAGTTGATAGGCCCCCGAGCACACAGATCTAGGGTAGAAGTTTTGACCCTAAGGAATGAGCTCGATCTCGAGCTTTTCTAAAAGTTTTGAAAGGAAGTCCTAGACCCCAACATTGTTTAAAATTTGAAATGAAAGGGGGTTACACCCCGACCATCTTTAAAATGTGAAAGGAATGGGCTATTGCTCGGGGTACGCTATTGAAGTGCTTGCACGGGGCAAGGCTTGATGGTGCTTGCGTGGGGCAATACTTTTTATAGTGCCTGCTTGCGATAAGGCTTTTGACAGTACCTGTTCGTGACATGGCTTTTGTTGACCTGCTCGTGACAGGGTTTTTTTGGGCCTGCTCATGACAGGGCTTTTTTGTACCTGCTCTTGACAGGGCTTTTTGTGCCTGCTCGTGACAGAGCTTTTGTGGGCCTACTCGTGACTGGGCTTTTTGTGCCTGCTCGTGACAGGGCTTTTGTGTGCCTGCTCGTGACAGGGCTTTTTGTGAGCCTGCTCGTGACAGGGCTTTTTGGGCCTGGGCCTGCTCGTGACAGGGCTTTTTGTGCCTGCTCGTGACAGGGCTTTTGTGGTAATAAGAAATCTACGAGGTAGGTCTCGCCTTCAATAATGAGAAAAATAACGAGCTAAGGCTCTCCTTTGATAATAAGAAAAACCACGAGCTGAAACTTGCCTTCATTAATGAGAAAACTACGAGCTAAAGCCTGCCTTTAATAATGCAAGGTCTAAGAGCTTGCCTTGGACATATGATGTCATGCTAGTATTTGAATTCAGTTGAGCTGTTAAAAATCGTATCTCTCTCTGCCTTCGTATCCCAAATCTTTTGATTCCACACTGGTTGCAACTGATACGGCTGCAGAGGGTGATCAACAAAAAGATAAACCAAACTTGAAAGTGAATACTTCTGAAAATGAAGGTGCTACAGTTTGCAATGCTAGTTGAAGTCTTGAAGAGGCAAAAGGGCTACAATTCCCTATGGAGATCTGATTTGTGTCACTTATGAAAGCTTTACCTTGACCAAAAAAAATGCTAGCTAAGCTCCACTTTCAGCAGAAGCCACCTTAACCAAAGCTGCTAGAGCTAGAAGAAAACCATTTACGACATTTCATCGAGCATCGGATATGCATAGCTATTATTCTCAAATTCCAAAGCACATCATATATGTTTTGAGCTAGAAAATTGAATCCATATTTTCCTCCAAGAAATTTGGTAGAGATGTCCTCTGAACCATATTCGCTGTCATCAAATTCAATGCAACTGTAGAGGAAGAAAATTATGATCCAAAGAAAATTCTAATCGACTATAAAAAAGCATGGTAGATTTATTCTTTCCCCAATGACAATATAATTATACTCAAACCAATTATCATAAAAATGACATGCATTTGAAGACAAATCAAATTCAGTGCTAGAATCATCAAAATTCAATTATTATCCGAGGCTATCAATTATCCTTTTAGAAACAGCCACCCCATCAAACTTCATAAATCTCCAAGTGGATAACCAATTATTCATGACAAAAATAGAATGACCATAGACCCAGATGCTTTAAAAGAAAAAAATAGATTATCATGGCCCAAAAGTAAGAAATATGAACAATAAATTGAAACATCTAATGGGCTAAAGTAGCTTTAAACAAGTTGGGAAACTATAAGGCCCAATAAAAATAAATTCTTGCAACTTATCTTTTCATAATGAAAGGGCAGCCCATATTCCATTTGCCAACCCATCTGTCCCAGTCAAGAGGTCCAAAAGAGAGGCACGTGAGCAGTGAGCTTGTAGAGAGAGAAAATGTGAATCATAAAAAATCTGGAAAGAAGACAAACTTCCTGCAAACAATTCGTTAGGAAAAACTCTGTGAATTGCCTTCAATCTCTTCCATTATTACATTCCCATTTTTGCTAATATTTTCAGGTTCCACACGATCACCACCCACATTATTATTCTCCCATCCTACCTCAAGTTCTTCCTCAAATTACACCATGTTTGTGGATTCTGTAGCCTCACGATATTTTTTGCGAGAGAAAAATTCAAATATCAAATTTTATTTTCTTCTCTTCCTCCGATGCCGCCGCCTACGGTGGTGACTGTGCTGAATAGGTTGATTAAGATACTTGAAAACCCATTTGCGACCGAAATCACAGATGAGTCCAGTTCCCATCCATGGATGACAATTTGTAGGTAAGTTCCCAGGATCAATTTCGCGGCAGAGCGGGCCCCAAACCCGAGAATTCCCAATGGTCTGCTGTCGCGCGCTCTCTCCTACGAGAGTTTCTGGTGCAAATTTAGGCTGCTGGGGTGTAAATTGGGGCCGACCCATGGCTGGGCTAGGTGCGCCAGGTGAGGGCGCACCCAGCCCAGGTGGTCCGAGACCATGGGTCGCCCGGACGGGGCCGGAAACTGAGGAAGAAGGCTGCGTTGTTGCGACAGTCGCGATAGGTCAGTTTTCAAATTGAAATTCTGATCTTGTGAGAATTGTTTGGGCTAAATTGGCTGCATGGTTGAGGTCGCCTTGAGGAGGGGGAGTGGTTAGTGGTAGGTTCCGGCCAGAAAGACGGCCGGACAGCGAGAATCCGGCGTTTGGCCGAATTTCATGCAGTGAGGTTTGAAGCTCGATTTCAGCCGGATTTGCTGGCGTTATGGGGTGATTTTGGGTGGAAATTGAAGACGAGAAAAGGGGCTTTCCACCGGTATCAATGTTCGGCTGTTTGGGTGGCCGGAGGTTGCTGGAAATAATTCATTTTTGGTTGAAAGGGTCAAAAATCGCCCCATAGGTAGAGACAATTAGGGTTTAGGGTTTCGAGGGAGATTTGTGAACGTGTGTTAACCGGGGCTTTTGGTAGCGGTTCCCATAGACGGAGCGATGTCAAAAATCGTCATATGTTGATTCTCGAGCTTGATTACTGAGATTGATCACGAACAAGATCTT